TGATAGTCAAGTCATTGAATTTCATGCCAAAGGAGAGGCCCTTAGAGACTATGAATATGTGGGATTATTTGATTATATTACCCAACAGACTCAGTATTCTACCTTTCGAAGGCATAATGATTACCCTCATCCCATTGATTCAGAAATATTGCTCTCTACTGTTCATAAGCCTAATAGCATGAAATTTGAAAATAATACATATACCACATATGATTCTCATGCTGGGAATAGTGCCATTCAGTTTTACAGTATTGATAGGAGCATTGCCTACATGGGATTTATCAGATCAATATGGCAAACTTCATTGAGAAACACTGTAAAAACTTTTTGTGTAGTGCAACTACTTCAGGAACTGCCAAAAGAAGAGGAAATCAAAGGTCCATATTATAACAGAGACAGATTTTATACTGGCCTTTTTGATATTGTAGGATCTCAGGAAGCACATATAATTGCACCTGAGCAAATCATTACACATTTGACATTTTCTCGGATGCCAAGGGGAACTTATGGAATTGACCAAGATTTTTTAGTTGTATGTTGGGCATTGAACCGTGGCAGAAAATAGATAATCAATGATTCAAGATTCATCTGACTATACACATAGGTTTTCTTGTTTTTTTTTTACACATTTATCTTTCCCAAATGATTAAAGACAAAAAAGAGATTATTTAAAAGATCTGATTCAATACATGTGATTTTCAATAAATAAATTTGAATGCAATATAGTTATAGGATACATGACATCAAGCCAGTATATATAATAAATATGGTAAAGTAAAGAAAGGTAAATGCAAATGCCTGAGGTATGGGAAAAATGAGACCAAAATTTGAAAGTAAATGTAAAGCCAAGATAATGCCAAATTATTCAAGAGAAAGCCATTGAAAACACAACAAAAAAGAAATGATATAATCAATCATCACCATTATCTTGAGGAATGTTACCTGTATCATCATCACTCTCCACATCTTCTGCTCGTCTCTTCCCTTTAGAAGCACGATCCAACTCATCCAATCCAAAAACAAACTCCTTTCGGCTAATAGAAGCATCAGTAGTTTCACGATTGTCCATCTCTGCCTTTGATGGGAATCAGTACTGTGCCCGGATATTGTTGCCATGAACATTCATCCAAGTCCTGTCAGACATGCCTTTCCATGATGTTTCACTACCTGAGACCCCATCCTGAATATCCTGCCAATTGATAGGAAGAGCAGGACACTTGTTGGCATGTCGATTCCGAGCCTTGGCACCCATTTTGGCGTTGAAATATGTGAGATCAAACCAATCTGGGGGCACTTCACGAGGAAGATTGAGAAGCTCGCTTTGAATAGGCTCATTTGGTACAACACGCTCCCTCTCCTCCTTTGCTGCCTTCTTTCTGCCAAGCTGAGCCAAGTCTTCAATACGGCGTTCATCAACCAATCACAAAAACCTGGTAACATTCTCTGCTCGTCCTATCTTCTGCTTCACCTTGTACTTGCCAGTATCATCATCGAATTCGTCATCCAAATTTGCAAAAGGCTCCTTGACAAGATTAATGACTTGTTGCGGAAAGCCCTCATTCTGTAAAAATTCAGCTCGCTTTGCAGCAAGCTATAACACTTAAGTCAGAAAGCCAGATCAAAAAGTAAAGATACACACTCGGATGCGCCGATCGTACACATTAATCATCTCAAGATTGGCCCCCCGTGCCCCCGGCTTCTTCTGCTCATCGTCATAAATTCCCTTCTGATAGTACCAAACAAAATGATCAAAGATCTGTGTCAGAAGTAGGTTGTTCGTGGCATCGGCAGGGTTTGGGGACTTGAATGAGTATGCACCAGAAATAAGACACTGCTTGAAAGTTGTAATGGCCACTGCACGATGAGCAGTATTGTAGAGTGAGTCTGCATCATCATTAAGATTGGGCCGCCAAAATCTGAAGCGAAATCGGGCAAGATAAGAAGTGATCATATCAATAGCTGTAGCATCAATACGACGGATATCCCGCTCAATCAAACTTGGTGATTGCAGAGCAGCAGGGTGAAGGTTAGCGACCATATCTTTTAGAGCAGTCTCAATGGGTGGAGGATTACTCAAGAGGGTGAACACATCAGCTTCTGTTGAAAAGCGAGCCTCAAACTCTTGGATTTGACCTTCAGTTGGAGCCTTTGGAATATCGTCCTGCTTGAGTAGTTGCCATATTAAATGTAGGTGAAGGAAGAAAGCCAACTAATGCAAATGAGTGATTAAAAAGAATAATTCACAATAACTATATAAACAAATACCTTTGTGCCTTGAGACTTTTCTGGGATATCCTCATTCTTTAGCCTGTACCGGGCTTTAGACAGAGTTTTGGAGCTTTCAGCAGGTTGTTCTGAAGTTTTTGCTTTTTTTCGGGGCCTGCCACGAGTTCTGGAGGGACCTGGTGCTGGTGGTGGTGTATTGTGATGCCCTTTCCTTTTCTTCTGGGCAGAAGCAGATGTATCGGCTGCAGTTCCAGACATAGGATCATCTGTACTTGTTATAGCTAGTGAAATCAAATTTTAATGGTTTGAATGAAAAAAAATTGAAGTCAAATCTTACGCATTGCGAGAGTAAAGACTAAAATCTAATCCAGAGACAGGTGAATTGCAAGGATTCTATGAATATATGTTAGATAGCTCATATTAATAGTGTATATCAGCCACATACCTTTAGATTCACTTTGAAATGTGTCAGGACACGGAAGTTTGTGGTGGTAAAGAACAAAGGGATATCAAGCGCGTGTAACGATGAGCTAGTTGAAGCCACCATGCTACTTCGATCACTTAATTTTGTGCCACACGACAACATTCTAAATTTGGTATGTATTTCTCACATGACATCATATATTTCTACTCGACAATAGAGGTAATTAGCTGCGCCCAAAAACCGGATTTCGGAGTTGTCCGAAGCCTGCTCGGCTACTCTCCGCCTAACTTCGAATTCTATTGGGTAGTTCAACGAAAGAGAATCTCTGGCCCATGGCCTCCGTAGTGATCCCAAATGAGGGCGGCGGCGCTGCAAATCATTAAGGTAATCTGTTTGATCTGTAAATAAGCAAGGGAGCTGTTGTCCCGCTGCGGAAGGGTTGAAAGATACTAGATGCACTTAACCTACACTCAATGAGCTTTGTAGTAGGTGAAAAGGCCTATAATAGTACATTTTGCAGTTACGTGTTCACAAAAATGCAAATCCGAGGTTGAAAGGCCTAAAGGGAGTGTATACATTGGTTAGGGAAGTTGCAGACGGAGGAGTAACATGGAGCGACACAGATGGTGTGAACTTTCTTACTAATCTCGGCAACGTTTCGCCTACGGAAATTGGCTTCTCGGCCGTGTCCGGAGGCCGTTGCTAATTACCTCTAATGCGTACACAGACCCTTCCACAGACCCTGGGTCTGTGAGAATTTCACAAACCCGGACCTTGCCCCCGGTGTAAACCAACCATTTGTCTGTAAACCAACCCTCCATCTTCGGCCTTCGCCCGCCTAGCTCAATCGGATAGGTAGGTAGGTTACACGGCTCCTCCGGGATGTTGAACCCGGAGTGGTGCCAGAAACGGCACAGCCGGAGTCACAAGGCCGAGCAAGAGCAAGCGCGGTAGACTACGAGCTCGGCCAGGGACTGGGTACTACAGAAGTATGGTACTAGTACGTACTAGTTACAAATAGTAAAATTATGTACTCCCGCATCAATTCTCCTCTGAATCCGACTCCTCAACTTCCAGAACCATTGAACCAACTTTCATCCAAACCGCAAGTACTTACGTCGCTAATAAATTTCGCAGCGGGGATAACAACATCCCATGAAAAGATGAGAGATTTGAGGAGCTCGAGAGCATGGTGATCGGACCGGTGACCAGTAGTGATAAGGTTCATTGATGCGAGGAAGGAGTTCCTAATCAAGACAATTTCAGGAACCCTCGAGCACTGGAGTAAAACGTGTTCAGGACGCTCATAGGAACCCTTGCATGCCCGACATGCCAGCACAGCAAAATTATCCCCCGACCTCTGAATATGGTTGGTACGAGATTGCCGCAGAGAAGTCGTGTCAGAGACCGTCGATGCCTATGATTTGAGACACGACGAAGGTAGTGACGAAAGTGTAGAGTTGGGGAGGAAGGTTCCAGATCCTTTTCGGGGTCTGTCGGTTCCACACGGTTGCGCAGTAGAGCCAGGCGCGAGAACGAATCAATTTCTGAACGGAGCCTGTTGTTGGAGACCGCTCTCACTGTCTTTAACAGTTTCTCAATGCCCTCGGTGTCCAGATCTTAATTTTGAGGCAAGAAAACTTTCTCGTTATTAGGCAGGTTCCGGATGGCCCAGTCGAGATCCATAAGCCAGCATGGTTCACCAGCCTCCCGGAGTTGTCCCGAGTACAAGGTGAGCACATGTTCTCGCAGCCTTCGCTTTGGACGAGTACAGAAGAGCGAAGATGTCACGGTGTACCGAAGTAAAAGTGATGCCAACATATTTAAATTTTGGCACAATTTTGAGGTTAGAATGCTGGAGGGAGAATTGAGGGAGAGGTTTTGGTAACGGCCCGAAAATCATCACCTCAGATTTGGCAGGGCTGAGCGATAAGAAATTGTCGTAACACCAGGATTCCAGTTGTGTTAGGTGTCGCTGGAGCCCGTCAGCAGTCCGCGATATAATGACCATGTCATCGGCATGTTCAAGGTGGGAGATTGGGGTACCCTAAAGGTTCCAAAGGAGCGGTGAGATAGGGTCACCCATCAGAACTCCAGATTTTGCATCAAACTCTTGAGAAAGGTCACCATCTTGAGATAGAATGTACCTCATGCGGCCGTAGAGTGAACGTAACCAGTCATAGTATATACCTGTTAGACCAAAGTCCTCGAGGCGATTCCAGAGACTATTCTGGTTTGTTGTCGGGAAGGCATTTGAAATGTCCACAAATGCCACGAAAAGTGATTCATTCTGAGCTCGAGTCGATTCGATGATGGTACGCAAGATAAAAGCGTTATTGTTGGTGCGGTAGCCGGCCCGAAATCCGTAGAGCGTCAGACTCTTACCTCAAAGCACGGTTTAGCTATAATCTGAAGGCTGCGAGTTCGACCCTCGCGGTGGGCTAATGCTAACTTTTTCCCCAAATACATATTTCAAGATTCTGCCGGGTTACTCAGAAATTCGGAGGTATATAAACTTCTCCTTTACCAACTTTTCTTAGATATCCACTACTTCAGAAACCGGGAAATTCAAACCCCCGCTCAGCTTCGCACCAACAGGGAGCAATGGTTCAATGTCCGGATATCCTATCCCATCACCAATCTTTCCACCTCGCAAGTTCCCGACAATCGTAGTCGCAGCTATAGTCTCCGTCTTTGCATTGAGCAAAAACTTTTCCCAAGTATCAGTCGCAATTTCTGCTTCTGTCACCCCTGAAGGCAACGGTGGTTGGACCAAGTTGAGGTAGTCCCCAGTAAGTGTCGTGTTGACTTCGATTGGGATGGGTAGAGTCGTAGGGACGAATTTCGCACTGAAGAATGGTTTACCACCGCTTGCTTCAGAAGAGATGGAGAGGGTCGTTATGCCCAATGCCGATTTCTGCCAGTCAAAGGTTGCTACATGTTCTGGATAGTAAAGAGATTAGGATTGTAATCGATAGGTCTCATTGTGGTACGTACTAGGAATGTTCCAGTTCCTACGTCCTAAGAATTCGTAAGTACGAGAGCCAGTTTGCTTGAACGCATATACACACCATTAATGACCGACTCGTTTGTACTCACATATATCCTCGTGATTCTAAAGCCAAGATCACCGGTATCGTACTTCCACTTGCCGGGAATGTATATCATTTCGTCGTCTGGATAGTTCCCAACCGACTTGAGTATGAGTACAACTTGAAGGGTGTTATAATGCACTTACAAGGACCTACACTAGAACATTATTATCGCGCGATAGCAACGAAAAAGTCTTTACACGTACCAACCGGACTGGAAGCGTACCGTACAATCTATACGATATTCTGAATACTTATTTACAACCTTGAAATCGATTTTTCACTCACCAACATTGTTCCGATATCAGGAACTAACGTCCCATTTGAACCCAACGCTTCAACCTCATTCGGATCCGCGAACCCAGCAGGTAGTAAAGCCGCTGAAAGTAAAGGTGGTGTTACGAATACATAGCCTTCTGCGACGTCAAGAGCCCAGGGTCTGAAGAAGATTATTCATTGATTGATTGATGCTGACCTCCGAGTCTCAGAGGGCACTTACGCAGGTGCGACAGGAAGATCATCCTGTGACAAACCAGTCTGGAATAGGGATACAAAGGAAAGTAGACCGGTCAACAGTTGGAAATGCATCTTGGGCAGGGGTCGGCGGGACAAGGAATTGAGTAAAGCCTAGATTGTTTATATGTCCTCCCCACCGCTTGCGAAATTTATACTCCCTAAAAATCAGCGATGGTAGTCATATTCGGCTATTGGAAATGACTTGAGCCGAATGTGATTCTCAGAGTCATAAGAATTTGTGTACGCTCGTTTCATTCGATGACGCTGTGAATTGAACGAGCTGCAGGCGCATGATACTGCAACAAATCGAAGATCAGAAGACAACAGACATGGCCTGGGAAAGAAACCTTGCGACTGCATGGCAAATCAATTGTTTTACCATGACCTACCACCGCTCGTTCATTGGTACAACGTTGCTCTTGAATGGAATCCTACCAGATTAAACACAGTAGGTCCGACCCCGAATAGCCCCGAATCTGGCAATAGTTTACGCGGTCAAAATCAGCCTTGAAGAGACACCCCGGAATTTTGGCCCGCTCTCGGAATAGCTTGAGATCTTCCCTGGGCGGTATGTGACGGTAAGTCATATATGAGCCAAAGTCATTTTAGCCAAGTATATTATATGACATCAGTATAACCAAAGATTAGAAGTGTCCGCGAAAAGCTTTTCGCTACTCCAACCCGGCTCTCCAGACTTCAACACTAGCACCGCGCTCTTTTCAGCCGAAACAAATCAATCTTTGCACAAATCAGTGAATTCAAGTATGCTTACAGAAAATAGCAATTTAAGCTTGAACGACGCCTCGTCAACTATTCGCTTTTCAAGTGCACCGATAATCTGATCGATAGCATTCTGGCGTTTCACGGCCTCCCAATGACCAGCTAGAGATGAACCAGATGCCAAGATGTAGAGTGCTGAATAAATAGTCTGTCAATTTGTTTCCGAGGCTCAAGAAAAATCTTACCTGCAGCTACATGATTCGACTCCGTCTGCACCACTGCATTTGTGCATAACCCGAGCGAATCCTCGATTCTGCCGATCGCCATATCATACGCTGGATCGTCTTCCATAACCGCATCCATAACTCGAGCTCTCCCATACATAGCGGCAGCCATAATGTATATCCTCCGGTATTCAGCCATCTTAAGCACGGCTTCTGCCACCTCCGTTGGATTGGAGTCGTGCGGGATATTCCGACACGTATCATCTAGAAGATCAACGAAGATAGGACGGAGAACCGGATTGAGAGATTGGGTACAATTGGAGAGTTCAATTCCTAAAGCTTTTCTGGCGGTGTCCCTTCCCCGAAAACGAGTTGCATCCGTGAAATCATCAGGGAGGGCATTCGCCATTGCAACGTAAATGGATAATAGGACGTCGATTTTGACGGGGCTCTCTATGGCTTCGTTTAGGATATGAATAGCTACTGATTCAGGGGTGGGGGTGTTATTTCCCAATGGAGAAGAAGTGATCATGCCAGCGAGTTTTGTTCCAGCATCTGTTGCCTCTTGGGGTGACTGGATGTTTTTAGAGAGAAGAAACTTCCAAGCGGGTGTATCTGCAGACATTGTAATCAAGAATCAATTCCATATCATTTTATACTTCGGGACGTGTGACGTATACGTATCGATGAGCTCATAGATATTGAAATGCTCCTCAGACTGTCTCCGCAGCGCAAGTATTTATCTCTAAAGAATAGAATAACTTCAATAAATTGAGAATTCACGACGGAAAGCAAATTGAGAGTGATATCTTGTGAAAACAATGATAACAAGAGCAAGAAAAAGCGGTCGCCAGCAGTAAAACCTATATTCACAGCTGGCAGATTTTTGGCAGGAAGGATGAATACATTTTCCGGCCCATTCTTGGCAGAATAATTTAGATATTAAAAATCGGCAAAGAAACCGCATCTTTGTACGTCTTTTAGCATTGAACTTTCACCCAAATATCTATCATAGTAAATAAGTGTTTGAAAAAAAAATGATACTTTTGGTCCCAAAGAAGAGTTTTTGTTTGCCCAAAAAGGTAGTCTATTTGCTATCCGAAAGGTTATGTTTTTCGTGGCTGCAAAATTGTAATCTTTGCTTAGAAAGGTGCGCTATCTCTCCTGTCACAAATATATTTGTCGCCGAAATGATGTGACATACGAATGAAACATCTTCTGTATATATCAAGGTAAAATAAATGGCTTATCCTTGCCCCAGAAATAAAAAAAAACTAAACAATACCTCGTTTTTTTATTTCTGGGTAAAGATAAGCTAAGAAGTAAGTATATGAGAGCGAATCGAACGGACAAGCTATTGTTAACTCTACGTAAAACCTATATTCATTGCTGGAAGGATGAATACATTTTCCAGCCCATTTTTGGCGGAATAATTTATGTGTCAAAGATCAGGCAAAGATACCGCATCTTTGCACGTCTTTTTAGCACCCAAAGATCTAAGTACCGTAATATTCACACATCAGGTGTCCAGTGAACATCGTCAGTCTGGCTACGTGAGGCTATTGACTCTGGTAGCAGCTCTGTAATTGTCATCAATGCTCTACAACTCAAGCTATAGTAGGTCTATGTTCCAAGAATTGCAGATCATGCACTTGGAAGAGAAATATTCACGTACTCCAGTCGTTATGATCACCTTCAAAAGTACTATCTATTTTATGGGCAAAAATGGTCACGGTAAACGATAAATAGTCCAGCGCTTCGAAGTGGACGGAACATCATGAATGTCCTGACTAGGCTTCCTTCAACCTGTCAGAAACTTTTTGGGAGCATTGTAATTAGACGCGCGCTCACCGATAACGGGTTTGCAGTTCTCAAGCTCAGTAACATAGTTCATTCCACTCCATCCTAGTCGGCATTCTAGAAGGCTCTGAGGGTAAAAGTAGTTAGCAGCTCCAACCATCCCACAGTATATATTCAAACATGAAGGATCTATTTCTCACTTCTAACGGCATCTTATACACTTATGGATGTGTTAGACTTCCTGATTAGTATCTACCATCAGGTAGACGATACTCCAGCGTCAAATACTAGTACAAGCACTATATCAAGTGCCTCTGGAATTATGAGATCTAGAGGCTTTATAAGATGCATCTTATCAACTGGTTTGTTCTATATAACACACTCAGACATCCAAATCCTAATCATAGCCTCAGAATGCCTTCAGCCTTCCTCCACTGGCTCAAACTTGCAATCCAAAATATTACAGGACCAATCTGGAACTTGTTGAAGTAAGTCCTCCAATAATTGGCTGGGTTCATGCTGGAAAATACTCATCAGGATGGTGAATCTTCCCAAATTATTTCCGAGTTATCCTGACACATCAGCGGGTACTCGCGACCCTTCTTCTGACGAAAGGTATGCGCTAATCCAATTATCCTTCATTCATATGCATTTCAATATACTTGTTGATCGCTTTACAAGCCCAGTCTTACGCAGCCCTGAGCCACATGCTCTCCTGATTGGGATCGACAAGTACGAAGAAATATCCCCCCTCTGCGGTGCTGTTTCCGATGTGGAGTGCATGAAGGACTTTCTGATGATTGACTGTAAAGTCCCTCAAAACCGCATTGTAAAATTGTGCGACGAGCAGGCGACCCGGGAGAATATCATCGATGCCATAGGGGGTATCGCAGGGAACCCAGACATCAAGACAGACGACCCAATCCTCATTTACTTCGCCGGTCATGGCAGTGAGACAACGCCGCCAGTCGGTTGGCCGACCAGCAGCAAAAATGGCATGATCCAAATGCTCTTGCCCTATGACTTCTCCAAACATGGGTCGCGAGATTTTCGAGGTCAAGGTATTTGGGATCTTACCATGAATCAACTTC